TCAACCCATTTTGAGACATGATCTATTACAAGGAGAATATATGACTGGCCAAAAGGTGGTGGGAAGGTTCTTATGAAGTCAATTCCCCAAACATCAAACAACTTCACTTCAAGATTGTTAGTTAATGGTAACTCGTGACGCCTTGAAATATTCCGGATACGTCGACATTGGTCACATGTCTTCACAAAAGCATAACAACCTTGAAAAGTATTGGCCAGTAAAACCCCGACTGTAGTACCTTAGCAGCAGTATAAGTAGGACCAAAATGACCTTCGTAAGGTGATGAATGACAATGCTTCATTAATGATCGTGTTTCCTCCATATGTACGCACCTCCTTATTAGGATGTTAGCACATCTCTTAAAAAGTATAGGGTCATCCCACAAATGTAAATTGACATCAAGTAGGAATTTTTTTCTTTTGCTGAGGTGTTAAATCAGGTGGCGTTTGTCCACAAGCCAAGAAGTTGACAAAATCAGCATACCAAGATATTCTGAATGAAATTGCTAAGAAAAGCTCGTTCGAAAAAGTTTCTTGAAATTGACAGTTATCGATCACTCCCTCATTCTCTAAACGTGAAAGATTATTAGAAACGACGCTCTCACTGCCCTTTTTATCCTAAATTTCCACATCAAACTCCTGTAATAGTAGGATCCATCGAATTAAGCGAGCTTGACATCTTTCTTTTTGAACAAGTAACGGATTGCTGCATGATTTGTGTAAATGACTACTTTGGTGCCAATGAGATATGATCTTAATTTGTCACATGCAAAAACCACTGCCAAAATCTCTTTTTCTATTGGTGATGTAATTTAGTTGAGCTCCATTCAGGGTTTTGTTGGCATAGTGAATTACTCAAAATATCTTCTCACGCCTTTGGATTGCCCTTACCGCGTAATCACTAGCATCACACATGACTTCAAATAGTTGACCCCAATCTAGTGCTACCATCACTAGAGCTGTAACTAATTTCTCTTTTATCGTTTCAAAAGCCTTCAGACAGTTTTCATCAAACACAAATGTTGTGTCCTTCTCCAAAAAGATTGCATAGATGTTTGGCTATCTTTGAGAAGTTTCTAATAAATCTCCTATAAAATCCAGCATGTCCCAAGAAACTTTGAATGTCCCTAATATTGGTGGGTGGTGGTAGCTTTGCTATTTAATCAATTTTTGCCCAGTCCATTTCAAGTCCTCTAGCTAAAACATGATGACCAAGCACAATTTCCTTCTTGTACCATGAAATGACATTTCTCCCAATTAAGAACTAAGCTTTTTTCTTCATAGTGTTGTAAGACTAAAGAGAGATTGTGAAGGCCATTTATCAAAAGAAGTACCAAAAATAGAAAAATCATCCGTAAATACCTCCATGGTATCTTCTATCATGTCTGCAAAGATCACCATCATATATATCTGACAAGTGGCTGGTGCATTGCACAATCGAAATGGCATCCATCTATAGGTGAAAGTCCCATAAGCTAAGTGAATGGCATCTTCTCCTGATCCTCTGGTGCTATTGCAATTTGTTTTAGCCAAAGTATCCATCAAGAAAATAGTAGTGGGAGTAGCTTGCTAATCTCTCCAACATTTGATCGATGAACAAAAGTGGGAAGTGATCTTTTCTAGTTGCCTTGTTCAGCTTTCTGCAGTCAATGCAAATCCTCCAACCAATTACTGTTCGTGTCGGGATCGGCTCGTTGTTGTCTTTTTTACCACTATCATCCTACCTGGACTAACACATTCACTGTCTGAAATAGAAAATATAATCCTTGCTTTTAGTAGCTTTAGTATTTTTGCTTTCATCAAATTTTTCATAGTTGGGTTCAATCTTTTTTGATGTTCAATGGACGATTTGTAGGAATCTTTCCATAACGATTTTATGCATGCACACTATAGGACTTATATCTTTAATACTACCTATAGACCAACCTAAAGCATCTTTGTGTTCTCTCAACACCTTCAAGAATCAGTCTTCTTCATCCTTGGTGAGTGAGGAAGAAATAATCACAGGCGAAGTAGAATTTTCCTCTAAGAATGCATATTGAAGGTGATCTGAAAGTTGCTTTAATTCAGATTTACTACTCTCGTCAACCTTGTTTTCATTTGATCCCGCTAATTGCTAAATTTCTTTACTCTGTACTGGGCTATCTTCAATTGACGATGATTCAAGGGCCAGTATGCAATCAACTAAGTACTTGCTTCCTTTGTACCTTCCAGAAGTGTTAATGTCTTCCTTTATTGCACTAAATACCATATAATGCTCTAACGGATCTTCAATGAATACTTTTTCTTCCTTCACAGCAGAATCGATGAAGTCTATTCTATAGCAAGTATTAGTGTCATATGTACTTCATTGCCTGTTAGATGTTGAACTTCACTTCTTCTTCATTTACCCTTAATGTCAGCTATCTTCCTTGTACATCAATTAAGGCTCTTCTTGTTACTAAAAATGGCCTACCAAAAATCAATGGAATCTCCTGATCTTCTTTCATGTTCAAAACAACGAACTCAGCTGGGAATATAAACTTATCAACTTTTACCAACACATCTTCAATAATCCCTCGTGGATATGTGAGGGATCTGTCGACTAACTGCAAGGTTGCTTTTGTTGGCTTGACTTCATCTAGACCAAACTTTCTGAATACTAATTAGGGCATCAAATTGATGCTCCCCCCAAGCTCATGAATTGCTTTGTCGAAAGAGTAGCTTCTAATAGTACAGGAAATAGTAAAGTTGCCCAAATCTTTTCTTTTCTCTAAATGTCCAGTGATTTTGTATTTCACTTTTTAATATTTTAAGTTAAATTATGCACTATTATATGTTCCAAAGTAAAGAAAGATATTGTGGAAAATACTATAGGGTATTATTACGTAGATCTACATGAAAATCAGCCATAGGGCTAAATACCCTAAGTGGAGATTGAGAATGGGTTTAATCTAAGTGAGAATGAGGCGGTCAGATTTCTAACCCACTAAAAAAATGTTATGTTATGTGCGTATTTTACTTGCTTTTTATATTAAACTGTGAAAATACAGGTATAAAATCTATACTGAGTATATTCATATGCTCATTCCATATTCTAAATTATTTTTACAGATGATTGACGGATCAGAGTTCGAGGTTAAGACTGCTGATAGAGCCCGTGTTGCTAGATCAAGAATTTAAGATTTTCTTTTAATATTTAGTTAGAAAATATTTTATTCAAATTAGAATTTTATTTATTTATTTATTTTTTTAAATCAATGTTGAATTTTTAAAAATAAGTTCTAAATTTATATTTCATTAGTGGTTTGAAATTATTTTACTTTTATAAGAAAATAAAATAATTTATTTTATTCCGCAATATTTCTAAAATATTTTTATATATTATAATGTGCCAATCAACTTTTATAGTGGTTAAAACAATTATTTAAGTAACCTCTGGATTAATCACACATTTTTCAATGATATAATATTACACAGTTCAATTTTTTTTTTCAACCACACATTTCTTAAAAATCACTATTTCAAAATACTTCCCCCTAAAATCTCATTAAAATGAAGCCCAAACAAGGGCTTAATCTTTTAAACTATATTATTTCCAACACAAATTCATGTAAAATTATAAAAATGAAGCATTGCTTTTAACAAAGGGATGGGTAGTTACATGAATGGTTACTGAATTTTGCCATATATTACTACTTCATAACTGAACTGTGCACCATATTACTTATCCATCACTTAAGTCAATGTTATTTGTTGAACTTAATGAATTTTTCAATTTGAGTGATGGATGTGTAATATGGTATATAATTCAGTGACCATTGAGATATGTTTTTAAGTTGGGTTATTAATTTCTTTTTCCCCGAAATTGACCTCCGTAAAATAAGAAACTAAAAAAAATGAAGGGAAAAATAGTTGAAAATTAAATTGACCTCAGTTACATTAGTACTAATTCGAATATTTTTGTATTTTATATAATTGCTTTCTATCAATTTCTTTCAATATTCCTATTGGTTCTCTTTCAAATTTTTATGCAAAATTTGAGATATGATGAATTGATGCCAGTTCATTTAAAAATCAAATGTACTTTCCAACAAAAGTTCTATTTTTATTCAATTTATAGGTCTATGATATTCCGTTTCCTCTTTTTCTCCCTTAATTTTCTATGATTTATTCTTTCATAGAGGTGGATTTAAATGACTTAATAATTGAATTTAAAAATATATCTCAATAGCCAATGAGATATGCTAACTGTTACTGTTTAATAATTGAACATAATGGTCATTAAACTTCGCCATGATCTTAAAAATCTCATTGGTTACTGAACTATATATCGTGTTATTCATCTGTCATTCAAGTTGGCACCGTTTGTTGAACTCAATGGATCTTTCCTCTTTAGTGATGGATGGTAAAACAGTGTATAGTTCAGTGACAATTATGATACATCGTTAAGTTCAATTATGAATTTGTATAACTTGGCGAATTTCAATAATCATTTAGATGCATTTTTAAATTCACTTGTTAAGTTCAGTTATGGATTTGTATCACTTGACGAATTTCAATACTTATTTAGATGCATTTTTAAATTCAGTTATTAAGTAGTAGTCCTTGGTAAAGTTCAATAACTATTTATGTAATTAACCCAATAAAAGGATTATTCTTATTGAGACCAATATGCTTGCTCAAACAAGGAAGTGACATGGCGCTCCCTTATAGACGGGACACTTGAGGGTAGAGAGGCTCTTAACTCATGTTTGAATATTGTTTTTTATCAAAATACATTTTTTAATAGTGATTTGACATTATTTCAATTATATATGTTTTAATAAAATAATATTATACATAAAATCCAATTTTTATTATTTTTTAATTATATATTCTCCATTATAAAACCATTTAAAAATACATATTTTGAAAAAAGTGGAGTTCAAACAATCCCTTACTAAGAAGACAATTGTATTGATTGATTTGATATTTTTAAAATAGAAATTTGAAAATGACGCCGTCACCTTAAATATTTCCTTGCCCCCGGCTCAAAATTCAAAAGTTAATCTCTCTCAGAACCATATCCTCGCGCCACACTTAGCCGCCATCTCCATGGCACTTTCCACCGCTCCTCCACCAACTGACCCTGACCCTCCTCCCACAGCTGCCGCCGTCTCCACCTCCAATACCACTGCCGCAACAACGAGACCCCTGTTACCTTACCCCAGACCCCCTAATCCCCACGCACACATCCCAACTCCCGACCTCTTTTATTCGTCCCCATCCAGACAATTGCCCTCCAATCCCAACCCCAATTACGCTCAATTGGCCCCCCGGCCACCACAAACCGAGTTCCACCCTCGCCCACAGGACCCCTCACAGCTGCTTTACCCCATCGCCTCCTCCGGCCGAGGATTCCTTCCGAGACCCGTCACCATGCTTGCGGCCCGACCCGCCTCGAGGCTACCTCTTGCGTTCTCTGCTACGGATCTAAGTCAGGGTAGTTCGGGGTATGTTAGGCCATCTCACTTGCCGCACGCGCTCCTTGGCTCTGGTCCCAGTTCTACTGCTACCCGTGGGGTCGTGCTAGGTGCGGCCAAAGGAATTCCTGTATCCACTTCACCCCTCCTGAAGGTTCGTCTGTTTGTAAGTATTAATTCTTGTTATTTAATATAATTTGAGAAATATTTTTGATTCTGTAGCTTCGTCTTACTAAACTATGTATAAGCTGTGCAATATTTGAAAAAGCCCTCTGATTTTCGCTCCTTGACGTATACATATCACAGTAAATTCTCAAAATAAGTGCCACATGAAATCTCTGTTACTTATCATTGTCAAAGAAATGTATTTTGACTTATAAAAGTGAATGAAATCAGCAAAAAACTTACATAAGGGAGAAAATTACTAATCAAAATTCTTTTTATATGGCATGTCGTTACTTATTATATTCTTATTTTCATTAATATGGAGTCATTGGGTTTAGAAATTCAAAAGAGCATTTCATATATACAATTAGACTTATGTTACAGGTTTTTTGCAGAAATGACCTGGTTTTATCACCAGTTTGTTTTGAACTATAATAGCTAGGGAAAGTGGTAGATTGTGAATGCTTTTAGCATATATGAACAAAGAAGAAACATAAAAAGGTTGAAATAATATGTTTGCACAGCATTAACCAGTTGAGTCAACTGAGTTCCTGTAGTATAAGTTTGAGACACGAGAGCCTTGTTGCACTGACATTTCAACTAGGTGGCGTGTCCTTGTGCTTGTCCATGTCTGACACATGTTGGATAATGACACATTGGGCACTCTATCATAGTCATTTTCTCTTTGACATTGGTAATATATAGTTTTAACTCAAAGTTATCATAATATCAAATATGTACTCTTATTTAGCCCTTGTTTGAGCCACATTATTTTCCTTAGAATGCATTTCTGAATAGTGTATTGATGGAAAATGTGTGGTTAAAAAATAAAGAAAAGTTTTGAATTTGCGTGTCATATTATTTTGTTGAATAATGTGTGGTTGAAATGATGTCAAATCACTGTATAAGAATTTATTTTTTTGAAAAAATGTGGCTCAAACATGGCCTTAAAAGATTTTGACAAAAAAAATTAATAAGAAGTTTAAAAATAAAGTTATACTCTATCATAGTCATTTTCTCTTTGACATTGGTAGTATTTGGTTTTAACTCAAAGTTATTATAATATCAAATATGTACTTTTTCGACAAGAAAAATTAATAAGAAGTTTGAAATTAAAGTTATACTCTATAAAGGAAGAATTTAATTAACATGTCACGATGTGTTGTGTTGGTACTTTTTTGAACAATCGCATGTTGGAGTGTACGGCGCATGTGCCATATAGGTGTATAATAGCCTGAGAGCAACTTTTTTGGCTGTGGTAGCCAATAGTTATGAGCTCTAAGCTATGTAGTTAGCTTTGCTTATATATATTTGGATGATAAGTAAGCAGTTGTAATATTATTGTTTAAAATCAAAGAAGATGAATCGAGATAGAAGTGGATGAAGAGGAAATTGAACACCATGAAGATCACATAGGCCTTTTAGGCATGCGGTCACATAGAGCCTTAAAAGGCCTACATGATCGCACAGACCTTTGCAGAGAAATCAAAGGCAGCCAAGGTTGTAACTATGCGACCACATAGTTATAGCCTATGCGGTCGTATAGTTGAAAAAAGTGATCATTGGTTGGAATTTTTTTTTTCGAATTTCTCGTGGTTTTATTGGTGAAATCACGCACCTATTCATTTGAGTTGAAACCACTTCGTGTAGGGATGGTAGAATAATGTAAATACATGGTGAGTTCATCCCTAAAACATATGAAAAACTATTTGCAATTTCATCCAATCTTGCATGAAATTTTATCCCTCCACATAATCAAATTCTTCTTTCACTTGTTTATTTGAAGGTCACTTTTGTTTTTGGTGCTCTTCTTGAAGGCTTGATTATATCCTATAAGCTATTTGCCAAATTTAATCCTTAAAAATATTGTGAAGGAGGTAAATATTGTTTGAAAATAGTGATATATTCTTCGTGTTCTAGCTTTTGCTGGATTTCATTATCTTCTTTTTCTGTTTTCTCCATTTTTGTATTTTTTATAACAATCTCAAACAATATTTTGATTTTACTACATGAATTGCAAATAATTGTGGACAAGTGGAAAACAATAAAGATCGAACTTCCCAAAACCTTTCAAATAGGAGCAATTATTGCTAAACTCCCGGGGTCTTGGAAAGAATGGAGGAAGAAGATTCTTCACAATTTCGAAGACTTTTCTCTGGAAGACATCTAAAAGCATCTTCGTATAGAGATAAGATTGAAAGTTCTTATGATAGCTCTTTGAAAGTTAATGTCGTGGACATTGTGGACAACTTCAACAAATATAGAACAAAAGGGAAATCTCTTGGTCCTAAAAAGGATTGAGGAAAGTTCAAAAACAAATACACCTTGTAGGTTTGTGAAAAATCGGGATTCTATGGAAAAGATTGTAGACATAAGAAACAATAAAAGAAGGAATGACAAGTAAATTCTATTGATGAGATTATCGCTACAGTGAGCGAAATCAATGCAATTCAAGGCAATGTTTCAGGCTGGTAGTATGACACATGCAACTAGCTACGTTTTTTATAATAAGCCTTTTTTCAAAACTTATCATGATATTGAAGATGGTCAAGAAATCTAAATGGGAAATGAAGGAAGATCAAAAGTGATTTGACAAAGATAATGTGGAAATCATCTTTACTTCGGGAAAAAAGATCACTTTGACAAAGGTCTTTCATGTACCAGTAGTGAATAGAAACTTAGCAAGTGAAGTTCTATTGGAAAAACCCGAAATTAAATTTGTTTTTGAATTTGAAAAACTTGTATTAACCCATAATGGGCACTTTGTTGGAAATGACTATTCCACTGAAAAAATGGTCAGATTATGTACTTTTGAAAATGACTCTAATAAAATCAAGTCTTTTGATTATGTTATTGATTCAATTAATTTATGGCATGGTAGATTAGCAAATATAGGAGTCAGTACTATGAGAAGAATGGTTTAAATGTGGATTGATAACTTAGAAAAATGTGAAACATATATTAAATCAAAGATGATTAAAAAGCTATTTTATAGTGTAGTAACATCAACAAATTTATTTGAACTTGTTCATTCCGATAAATGTGAATTGAATGACATGCTAACAAGAGATGGTAATAAATATTTTATTATTTTCATTGATGATTGCTCTAGGTGTTCTTATGTATATTTGTTAAAGCATAAGGATGAAGCCTTTAGTGCCTTTAAAACATATAAAGCTGAAGTTGAAAATCAATTAGGAAAACTTAAAACTCTAAAAAGTGATAGAGATGAAGAATATTTCTCTAATGAATTCAATATGTTTTGTGAATGAAAGGGAATAACACATCAATGTTTTGCAACATGAACACCAGAACAAAATGATCTAGCGGAAAGAAAGAATAGGACATTCTTAGATATGATAAATGCCATGTTATTGAATTCTGAACTACCTTTTAATTTATAGGGTGAAGCCTTACTTAGTACTTGCCATATAGTATATATGATTCCTATGAAAAAGAATAAGATCCCCCATATGAAATATGGGAAGGTAGGAAACCAAATATTAATTATTTCAAAGTATGGGGATGCCTTGCTCATTATAAGACATGGATCCGACGAGTACTAAGTTAGGTTCTAGAAATATTAAATGTGCCTTTGTAGGATATACTCTTAATAGCAAAGTTGATAGGTTATGAAACTTTGAATCGGATGTTATAATAGAATCAAAGGACGTGGAATTCTTCGAGAATGTATTAGTAACAAGGAAATCTCATAATAATGATAACATTTTGAACTCTAGAAAGTCATAAGAAGAGACATCTATAAGAGATGTTGAAGGTGAACCTCGAAGAAGTAAGAGAATTCGAAAAGAAAAGGGGTTAGGATCTGATGAAATAGATTCTCAATTTATTTCTTTTTACTTGATAGAGAGAGATAGGAAGGATGTTGTAAGTACAATACCTTTTGATCTACAAGTGGAAAGTGATTCTAAAACCTATAAGGAAGCAACGTCATCTGGAGATTGTATATTTTGGAAAGATGCGATAAATAATGAAAGATCTTGATCTAACGGAGGGTTCTAAGCCATTGGTTGCAAGTGGATATTTAGAAAGAAATACAACCCCGATGGAACATTCAATACTTACAAAGCTATATTAGTAGTTAAAGGGTACGGTCAAAAGGAAGGGATAGATTACTTTAACACATATGCACCTTTGGCTAAGATAACCTTGATAAATCTTGTTTGCACTAGCATCTATTTATGATTTTTATGTTCATCAAATGGATGTCAAGACGGTATTCCTAAATGGAGATCTCGAAGATGAGGTTTATATGGAGCAACCAGAAGGGTTCGTTCTACTAGGAAATGAACATATGGTGTGCAAACTAATCAAATCTTTATATGGATTAAAACAAACCCTTAAAAAGTAGCATGAGAAGTTTGACTTTAAAATAATGTCAAATGGATTTAATCATAATTTCGTAGGCAAATATCTTTATACTAAAGTAAATGATAGTGTAATTACTTTAATATATCTATTCGTTGATGATATGCCGATCATTAGCAACAATGTAGAAGGGATTAAAGAAACAAAGAAGTTTCTATCCTCCACATTTAAAATGAAAGATTTTGGACAACTGGATACTATCTTTGGTATCAAAGTTAAAAAGGATAGTGGGGGGTTTTACATTGAGCCAATCACATTATATTATATTAAAAATGTGAAAATAAGTTCAAACACTTAAACATTAAGGGGGCTAATACCTCGTTGGATCCAAGTATTAAGCTGATAAAAAATGATGGAAGAGAAATAGCACAAATAGAGTATGCAAGTGCAATTGAAAGTCTTATCTACGAAGCACAAATAGAGTACGCTAGTTGGATATCAAGTGTGGAAGAAAATAAGTCTACCTCTTACTCTTGGAGGAGATACAGTTTCTTGGAAGCCTAAGAAACAAGCATGCATTACTCATTCAACAATGGAGTCGGATTTTGTAGCATTGGTCGAAATTGAAAAGTTAAGTTGTATGGATAGATTTGAAATTAGGTAGAAGTAACACCTCATTTGGACAATATTCTTAAGACCATGAAATTTGCATATCTTGGATGTACTAAAATCAATATGAATCTATATCGAGATAAAAGCTATTTTCTTAGTCCACAAAGATAGGTTTTCTTACAGTTTCACTCAGATTAAGAAAATGTAATTAATATAGTTGGAAATATAATTTTTTCTTACATTTTTTCAAATATACTCCTTTATTAAATAATGGTTTGGGTAGGAGTAGTTCAAATTTGTTGATAGTAAGGCACATTAAATATGGGTATTCTCAACGAGGAAAGTGGCTTATAATTTAGGATAGATGAAGGAAAGTAAACCTATCTTTATGAGACAGAGGTTGTATGAAATATAAGAACGAATTACAAATAAGTTGCGATAATCACATATTTTGGTGTCGTGTTTTAAATGGAGCTCAAAGAGCTCCAATGTCTGCTCAAAAGTGGGAATGCATTTGTGCTGTGCAAGGAAGATATCAAAGATACAAAGTTTCATTTTTTATGGTTAGATTGCAGACTTCTGTAAATTGCATTTTAAGTCCACAGTAAATTGTATAATCCTAAAGATTTCAGGAAGTGTCATTTTTTCACAGGACTTTATTAATGTATTACTTGTATAATACACTCCCGCTAAAAAAGTCTTTTCATGTTTCATTATTTGGGGCTTGCAGGTTGGTCCTTCAAGTACCATCTCTGATAGTAATGGCTATAAAAATTTGAGGTAATGTTTTATGCCATCTTTCTTTTGCCTCTCTTTCATTTTTTGGTTGATCTCTTATGTTTTTACCAAGCTGCCAATTTGCTATATTACTTCTGCACAAATTTCACAGTTCTCCATGTTTTTCTGCAGGGATAGAAGTATGGATGATGCTATTACGGTTATTGGAGATCGGAAGGTAAATGCTCATGACACTGTATGTACAAGCACCCGCCACACATATACATAGGTATGTAATGTAGGGAGATGAACCTATTTTGCCTAAAAGCTACAGTTGATGGGAGAGGTGCGATCCACCCTATACGACCCGAAGGGGTCTAGGAATCTGCCCCAATCCCACTTTGTTTGGGCCTCAATTCGAAGGACACCTGTGAAGGTGCCATTGGGCAATTTGCAAATAGCAACTATAGGCCCACCCTCCATTTCAAGCATGCTTCTACGTTATAGAGACATTGAATGAAAATGTTCTGGCATTGACTCAAACAAGAAACCTCAAAACTTTGATACCATATGTCATAGTATGCCTAAGAAGAAAGGGAAAAAAAAATCCCAAACAAGACGGGATTCTTCTTACCAAACCTGCTGCAAAAAGAAGAATAGCATAGATGATTTTTGGGAATTCAGAAGGCCCTTTTCTCATTCAGTTTTGAGCCTAGTAAGAAACAGCTAAACGACACAGTTTTGAGTCATTTCATGGAAGCAATTAAAGAAAATGATGAAAGAAACTAGAAAAAATAATAAACAAATGATAGCCCAACAAATATGCCATGTGTCGTTATATGTTCTGCATCAATATGCATGTGCAGTATGCACGTGTAAATACATGTATAAGGAAAGGAAGATGCTGTTTTCAAATAAAGATTTTTTTTCTTTCAACCATATGCATGTGTGTAAACCCTTGATTGTGAAATATAGATGGATTGTTGATCTCTGTCAATATCTTTCTCACTTCAAAAATCCTAAATTTGTATTAATCTATCATCTTCATTTTTTTTTATTATTTTTTATTTTTTTTACTCGATCGATTTCATTTCTATTTGAATCTGGTTATTCACCATGTACATTATACAAGGATCCCTTGCTAAGCGCCCATGGTATCGGGATAACTCATAAACTTAGAATTTCTAACAATGTTTCTTCAATTTTTTTTTCCTGTATAATTATTTTTATATTTTGATAAATTTGCAATATTATTCCACTTGGCCAAACTATGAATTTTATTCTCACCTTTGTTTGTGTATACTTTTTAATAAAAGGTTTGTTTCATGTTGCAGGTTAGTATATCTGAAAATGCTTCTCTTTATGCCCTTTGCCGGTCATGGTTGAGGAATGGTTCTCCAGAAGAAACTCAGGTTTGACTCTTAAAATAACTTCTCTGATTTGTTATGCATACGTGATGATTTTTACTGCTTTTTGTACTGACTTTTTATAGTAGTTGTCATGTACAATAAGCTTGAGGTTTAAAATTTTTTGATAGAACAAAGTCAGGTTACTCTGTGGTTTACAACGTATCTATCACCTAATTGGATGGTAGCTTGAGAAATGCACCTTTTACTCACACCTTAGTTACAGAATTTCTGCAGAAAGCTGTGGTTATGTGAAATATATCTGTTGAAGACAATTTTAAATCATAATTGTTCATTACAAATGTTATATGAATAATCTGTTAGAAATAAAGCAACGCTACAGTATCTGGATTCTCGTATTCTCTGTCTTGATGTTTTGCTATGTGTATAATATCCTCTAAAATACTCGTCGTTCCTTTTAGTAATCAAACCTAAAAACCTAAAATAATCACTCTTTTGCGTACAAGACTCTCTATAGCAACTCTAATATTATTCCTGTTCCGACAATTAAGGACAATCCATGTTAGCCATCACATTCCACATCTAAATAACAATTAGGGTCCGTTTGATTGTAAGGATGGAATTTAGGTGGAAAGAAAACGAATTGCCTAAAACTTGTTTTACTGTGAATTGACAATTAAATGTATTTGATTGGTATAATTTTTCACCTAGAAAATGTTGAAATTTTTTGATCTTTTTGTGTTTGTTTGGGTTTGTTTTTCATGAAAATTGTCAATTAAAAGTACAAAATTTGTTCCAATAGTCCAAAAAAAAAAAAAAAATGGGGCTGGAAATCCAATTCTTCCACAAAACTTGGAATTGGCAAATGTGTGGAGGGAAGTTAGAAAACAAATTCCATGGAAATTTTTAGCAATCAAACATCACAAATTGGGTGGAAATGGAAAACATTTTCCATGGAAAATCAAGACTATCAAACATGGCCTTAATCTTTTGCTCACACAACAACACAAACAAGTTAAGTGCGAGGTATATTTTGCTTAACTTTTATGACTCAGCTTGGTTCAATGATTATCCCTACCACATTTCTATTCTTTTCATCATTAACAAAGTTTATAGCAAATGTTCCGTAATTCTTTTGCCTTTCTCCCACCCATTCGACATATTTTATACAAGTTATGTTGACTTCCCCCTACGCATCATATGATTCATATCTACATGGTCGAAGGTTTTTCTTTTAAGCTCTTGGAATATCTATCATAATTCTAATATTTTGGACCAACTATAGTACCCACGTCTGTCTGGTGCTGGAACCCTTGCTACCTTTCGACACTTCTGGGAGCCGAAGTTTTGCATCTCTTATGGGTTAAACCTTAGCTAACCTTAGCCATCTTTCGCTCCTCTTGGCATCCAATGCACTAATGCAGGCGTCATTAGTTGGGGATGCTACACTGAGATGTATACAAGGTTCAAGTTATAAGATGTAACGAAGTTGAAGTCAATAACACGTGGTCCGTTTCTAAATTTGTGGCCAACAAATTACTCTTAAGTGGTAGATATTTGAAATTTGCACGCTCTCTTGCAACTTGAGTTTAGAATGTGATCTCATTTTCAATAATGTTCTCTGTTCAGTTCGCATGTAAGGTTGTGTAACTGCATACATGTTTGTGAGAAATTTATACTGATTTGCAAAGTATTTCTCTTGTTTATTGTGTAATTTATGCTTTTAAATTAATATTCTGGTTCAAATTTGCGCTTCTTCAGCAGCAGCCTCAGTACCCCGATGTCATAAAGTGTCTTCCCAGACCTCTGCCAGTAGCTGAGCAACATTCAGATTCTCCTGGGAGGAAGGAAGGCGATAAAGAAGACGAAGAAAAGGTTGGTACTTAAATTCAATATCATTGTCTTAGGAATCAATCACCTTTTTTTTTTTTTTTTTTTTTTTTAAAAACTTTTAAAG